GCATGGTTTTCGCTGATCCGGGCTCATATGTCGATTGATTGTGTTGAGGTATTTCTCTTCCAAAAGAACACTTTTGTTGAGCACAGTATTAATAAACTCCTTGAAAAGTCATGTCCAAAGTCACTAAGTTTTTGTTTCCAGAGGAAGTACAATGTACAAGAGCTTGTGTGGAAATAGATTACTAGTAATCCCACTTCGAAGCTCAACAGAAATGCTAGATACTTTGCCAAACGTCTTGTCCTGGAGAATTGATGTCCCGAAATATCCTGCATGCCCTAGGATCTCTTTATCTCCATTTCTCATTTTGAAGCTTAACTCTATCCTGTTCTGTGACATGCGCTTTTATTCTTGTATAGCACTACCAGCTGGCTCCAAATTATCAAGAGGCACATGGAGTTTCTGCAAGGCAGCCTTCTGGAGGGAGCGGTGGCAGTCGTGGGCAAGTAAGTGACCTATGAATGGCAATAGTGGACTGAATGCACTCCTTCATGATAGTTATTGTTAATGTTAAGAGAGCGTGTCTGAGAATACCAAAGTATGTATGCAAGTGGACCTATCCGATCTCGCTCTAATTTGCAGGTATGTTCTCTCAAAATTTGCACGTATGTTCCCTTTGGGGTCTAGATCGATTGTACAAAGCCCTTTGAAAAGGTTCTGAAGGGAACCTTGAAACTTGCATACCCCTCAAAATGGCCAAAATACCACACTATCTATGGGTCTAGAAACGAGTCACGCCACAGCATATACGAACAAGCTACGAACAAAACTCCATCAAGCCAACATTGCCTCACCTTAGAAGAGTTCCTGAAGCAGTACCGCTTAGCCACGCCAGTATCCCAGAAGACCAGGGCCATCACCCCCTGACGCAACAATATTAATGATGGTCTTGAAAATAGCCAATTTACAAGCGCTGGCAAAACAACCAGCTTCGTCCTCAATAGGCAAGAACTATACACCAGCAGATAGTAGAACACCTCTTCTAGCGCTGAGGACATGTCCCCCATCTTCATTTTGGGGTTTTCTTGAAATATATATTTTTGAATTTTTTCACTCGACCATGCTGAAACATAGCCAAAGTCATACCTGCGCAGGAAAGCTTGCCCCTCCGCGACGTCTCCTCAGCAGTTTCTACTCCAACACTACTCCCAATGCTGCAGAACAAAGTGTATTGTTGACCCTGACAAGGAAAAGTAGCGGTGATCACGTGACACTCCAAAAAAAAAGCTTCTCCTTGCGCCACCAACAATTTTTGGTGCAACCGTTGATGCAAAACTGACTGAAGTCCTGACCACAGTTTTTGAATTTTATTGCAAGATGCACGGTGAGATCGCGTGCTTTGTAACGTAGGATGACGCTTCCTTGGTCACGGCACGCGGCCATCGATCGCGATCGTGTCTGGAATGCTACTGGGAACAGACGGTGATGGTTGAGATAAGAAGCACTGCATTTCCTGCTTGATTTGCTGAGAACCCCACAAACTGTCCTAGGAGTGTTTCAATGGCAGCAAGCCGTTGACATAATCCCCCCACCGCACAGCAAGGAGAGTTATTCACCTTTCACACTTACTTCCTGCAATCCAGAACATAGTCCAACAGTAAAAGTCCCTTGTTGTCATGTCGATCCTTGACAAGAGCTGCTAGATCTGTCCTTTTGTGTTGACTGGTACGCTAACAGTACTGGCTGCATGCGGTTGTCGCGTTGACTGCATGGCAAATTTCTTACGTCATAAAGAACGTGATTTCATCATCATTTCACTAGTCTATGAAAGTCCCGATGTGTAGGCCTACAACACGGTCAGCGTGTTCTTGAGCGCAGTAAAAACATGAGTGTGACCGCCTCCAGACCAACGGGCGTTCAAGGCGAGTAACAAGCGCACTTGGCGAATAATAGAAGGTGACTCCGAAATCTCGTGAGCCGTGATCCACTCACTCACGCGACTAGGCATTGTTGCGTCACAAGGCAAGTGGTTCCACCGTGCCGCTTGCAATAAAATTCAAAAACTGCGCTCAGGACTTCAGTCACTTTTACATCAACGATCGCACCAAAAATTGTGGGTGGGGCAAGGAGAAGCTTGTCGTTTGGAGTGACAAGTGATCACCGCTGGTTTTCCTTGTCAGAGTCAACAATAGACTTTGTTCTGCAGCGTTGGGAGTAGTGTTGGAGTAGAAATTGTTGAGGAGACGTTGCGGAGGGGCGAGCTTTCCTGCGCAGGTATGACTTCCGCCATATTTCAGCATGGTCGATTGGAAAAATTCAAAAAAGTGTATTTCAAGAAAACCCCAAAAGGAAGATGGGGGACATGTCCTCAGTGCTAGAAGAGGTGTTCTACTATCTGCTGGTGTATAGTTCTTGCCAATTGGGCACGTAGCTGGCTGTTTTGCCAGCGTTTGTAAATTGGCTATGTTCAAGACGATCAATTGTTGCGTCAAGGGGTGATGGCTCTGGTCTTCTGGGATCCTGGCATGGCTAAGCGGTACCGCTCCAGGAACTCTTCTAATTTGAGGCAATGAGGTGAGGCTTGATAGAGTTTTGTTCGTAGCTTGTTCGTATACGCTGTGGCGTGACTCGTTTCTAGACCCATATATCGTGTGCTGTTTCGGCCATTTTTGAGGGGTATGCAAGTTTCAAGGTTCCCTTCAGAAACTTTTTCAAGGGCTTTGCAGAATCTATCTACACTCCAAAGGGAACATACCTGCAAATTCTGGGCGAAATCGGAGAGATCCACTTGCACACATACTTTGGTATTCTCAGGCATGATCTCTTGAAGTATTTACGCATCACTAGAGGCAACGTAGGCATTGCCAACGGCGGTCCAAACACCCCTTTACAAAAAGATTTAGCACAAAAAACTAAGAGTTGTAAGGAACATTGCCTTCTGATTTGCATAGCTATACAGCATAGTTAGTCTTCCGCCAATCAATGCAACGTGAATAAGAGAGCTTGGCTCACCATCGAACCCCCAATATTGACGAAGGAGACCCGCGCGCGCACACACTACAAAAAAATTACAAAATAAGGCCATGGTAAAAATTATCTTTGATTCTCAAGTACGCGCGCACCGAATTTCGGCGGCGCACCGACGATTAAAGAAAAAAATTCTATGAATGCATATGCGCGCATGAAAACGGTCAATGCGAAAGCATCAATCAGGGAGTAGTAAAATACCGGTATTTTTCTACTCCCTGGCCTGAATATATGAACATATAACCATGTACATACTACCCCCGACATTTTTCTACTCCCTGGCCTGAATATATGAACATATAACCATGTACATACTACCCCCGACAAGCGAAAATTGGCGCGTTAAAAAAAAAAAATTTTTGTGTTGGTACCGTGTGAAGTGTGCGTATACCACCTGCTTGTACTCTCCATGCAACCGGGTGCAGGAAGCCAAGCGACGAGCTGGTGAGTGGCACATGGCTCGACTAGTCAGAAGCAGGCCAGTCTTTCGTGTAGATTCTACCAGCACAACAGTGCGCGCGCACCGCGCGTCCATTCTGCGAAGGAGAATCGTCGTGATTTCGCGTTTCAATGCAAAACCAAGGAGTTCTCTCTCTCTTCACTTGATCACTCAGCCAGCACAGAGTCCATACGTCCATGCAAAATAATCCTAGCATCTTTCAATAGCCTTCAGAGCGGTGCGTCTCTGGTGGCTAAGGAAAAGCGCCAGGAATTGCTGCCTGCATTTTTGGACAGTTGGCGAGAATACCCGGCAAAAATGTTGCAGTCCAGGCGCATGTGGAGGTGTTCCACAGTTCTTACCACATCAACCTGGATAGTGGCAGCAGAAATGACGACCCTCGACACCGTGGCTCAAGCACAGGAGCGACATCGAGATTTCCAGAGCGATCACAACAGAGAAACTTGCTGCAACTGAATCCGCTCTAGTCGCTCTTTCGTCTCAAAACAGGGACAATTCCTCTCCAGAAGAAACTGCAATCTCTGAATCAGAGGAGAGTGATTCAGCCCAGCTGATGTCTCTAATGTCCTTGTTGAGCAATACAAAGTTGTATTTTGGTCAGTCAATCAATCGTTAGTCTTAATTGTAAAGTGTGAGTTATTTTGAGTCATTTGAAGTAAAAAACGCGCCAAGTTTCGCTTGTCGGAGGTAGTACATGCATGTGGCACCAGTGAGTTGTATAGACCCTATACAACTCCCTGTGTGTGACCCTATCTTTGGAAATAAAAAAATTGCGGGGAAATAAAATAAAAAATTGTTCGCTCGCACCGATTTTCACAGGCTCATGACCTGAGAATCAACTTTATTTTTTACCATGGCCTAAATAATCCGGAAATAAATTTGACGAAGACGGATGGATGGAAAAGAAAGAGAGAAGTAATGAAAATAGCTGACCTGCATGACCTGGGCGAGACGAGGTTGACATGGACGAGACGAGGTTGGAGAGGAGCCGAGCATTAATGACGACGAGACGAATGGCGGTTGTGGACGACTGGGCATGGGACGATGATCTCAGGGTCGTGGGTTGAGCGGAAAGTGGGCGCCAATGTTGGGTTCGACGAGGACGAGTCATACTCTCCGGACACAACGAACAACAGGAACAGATTAGGTCGAACAACATGTATTATGGGAGACTAAGAGACCAAGACAAAGACAAACAGAACGACTACATTGTGGAACAGAGAGACAAGAGAGAGAGAGAGAGAGAGATCTAGTCAGAGCGGCAAGATAAAGGGCCTGGGTAGCTATGGCAAATATGGGCGCACAAGTAGCTACCCAGGCCAACGGAACAAAAGGAGACAAAAGGTGAGCACGAGGGTGCATGTAGGCCATCTCGGAAAAGTTTGTACAATGTAGATGTACTGGAGGAGGTACCTAACAGTAGAATACTTGCTAAATACCAACCTGCTGTAAGCTGTAGAGGTGGGTAGAATCCTGCTAGAAGGTGACCTTTTTTCTCTTTTCGGAATCATCCTACTGTAGCGAACATGGAAATCCAGTCGATTGACCGGGGCCGGCGCCCTGAGCGCGCACAGAACGCTGCTTGCAGCGCACATGTTGATTCGATGCGATCACGTACCTGTGTACCAGCGGGCTGCAGCGCATACATGTGAATGCATGTGCGTACCACATGGCCACGGCTGCATGGCCAGCGCTCTGGGGCCACTAGACGTGCGACCGGATATCCATGTCCACGACAGTAGTTCAACAAACACGTCCCACATATTAGCCGCGCCCACAATTGTGTGACACTGGACGGCTTTTTGAAACCAGAGTTCTGGACTTTTGAAATGCACTGCAGGCCCGTAGCAGCCCCCTTTTGGTTGGTCCGGCAAGATCCGACCTCGATGCCCCCGAGCCCACACTCCTACATATGCCGGTACATGTAGATGTACCCGTACAGGCACAGAATGTGCATGGTTGTACGTGTATGTACGTGTATGTACGTGTATGTACGTGTATGTACGTGTATGTACGTGTATGTACGTGTATGTACGTGTATGTACGTGTATGTACGTGTATGTACGTGTATGTACGTGTATGTACGTGTATGTACGTGTATGTACGTGTATGTACGTGTATGTACGTGTATGTACGTGTATGTACGTGTACATGTATGTAGTCGTGACCATGCAGAGTGACATACATGTAGGGTGAGAAAAGGAAGAAGGATGTTCTGCATGAGTCAGGAAAAGGGGCGTCAGCATGTTGGGTCCGTCCAAACAGAACTTGTTGAAGACTATGAAGGCATAGCAACAGTATCTAAGTGCATGTGATACAAGAACCAAAAACGGACGTTTGGTCCCTTGGAGGGGGAGAAAGGACATTGCAATGGAGGAATGGCAGGAGGTCATAAAGTACAGGACAACACCCACATAGATCTATAATATTATGTACATGGTATTCGCAACAACATGTACATGACATGTACATGAGGACTACTAGAGTTCAAACTTCAAAGTATATCCTCTTACTATTACCATGTCCTACCTCTACTTATAATTATTATACCTCACTACGGCTCTACTTATTGCACACATCATGGGTGGACATCCTGGCCTGAGCTGCTCACATGTGTGACTGTGAGCTCCTGCTTTTTTTAATTAATTTATTAATTTGATAACCGCAATCAATAAAACTAGCTGAACCGACATTTGTGTACTTTATTCATGCAATGTAAAAACTGTGGAGACGATGTGCAATAAAACGATGAAAATATGAAGAAATGGTGTAGGGAAAAAATATGGATTCAAACAAGTTTTTCATTTTTCATCGTTTTATTGCATATCGTCTCCACAGTTTTTACATTGCATGAATAAAGTACGCAAATGTCGGTTCAGCTAGTTTTATTGATTGCGGTTATCAAATTATTGTCTCCTCGCCGTGTGTTTAAATTTATTAATTTATTTTATATTTTTTATTTTTTTGCCCGAATATTGGTCCGGCAGCTGCCGGACCGCCTGCTGCGGCCCTGCACTAAAGTATTCTTACTAAGAAGTTTAAAATTTACTACTGTAAACCGTGAAATTTTTGTTGCCATGGTCTTAATTTCTGCGAAATTCGCGACCGCGTGGAAATCGCAAATTTAGACAGCGCGAAAAGGAGATCAATTTCACGCTGTACAGTATTAGCATCCCACCAGGTCGCAAGAGAGCAACAGAGCAACAGTATGTTGGGTTGCGCCGGGAGTGCCGATACGAGCAACTGGTTAAAGTATCGAAGCAAGCGTGTAATGGCCCCGCTTGGAGTCGCTAGGTGGCTCGCAGCTGAGCCGCCAAATGACTCCATTTGAAGCCGCCAAATGACTCCACATGGAGCCGCCTGATGACTCCGCGTGGAGCCGCCAAATGACTCCGCATGGAGCCGCCAGATGACTCGGCATAAAGCCGCCAAATGCTTAATATATAGGTATTTTTGGAAAACCAGTTGAGAGCATATATTCACGTATGAGCCAAGAACGTGAGTTGAGGTAGAGGGTAGAAGGGTGGGAACAAAGCGTTCTGCGAGTTACAAGTTCGAAAGTCAACAACAGCAATGATCCTGAAAGAGACCTTCGTGGGATCCTTTAGGGCGCCCACCCGCGTGGTTTGCGGATGCGCGCAAAGCGGGCCAGCTCGCTGGGCTGGCTGCTAAATTGCGTCAGCATGCTAACGCTCATGAAGCTTTGCCAAAACTCTTGTCCTGGATAGTTTATGTCCGTAAATGTCCAGGATGCCCTAGGATCCCTTCATGTCCCATTGTGATTTTGCAACTGAACTCTATCCTGTCCTGTGACATGCACTTTTATTCTTGTATAGAGGATGAGCTCCGACCAAAGTCAATCGTCGCAAAGTGGCTTAGGCGTAAGTGGAGTTCATTCACTCAGTCATGCTCTTTAATGATTGTTTGCAAGCCTAAAGTACTGTTTTCTATGAAATTCACTCTCGATGCAGGCGAATAGCACTGCAGGTGCAGGTGGTCCGGCTGGAGGGGGTCTGGGGGTATCCCTCGGGAAAGTTTTGAAATTAGGGTGCAAAATTCTGCATTCTAGGCACTTTTGCATTGTGTTTAAAAAAGGTGGTCCGGCAAAAGCCGGACCGGCCGGACCGGCTGCTACGCCCCCTGCAATAAAGTTTTCTGAGAAGACCATTGATGGCCTTTTGAGTGCACAATGGGTGGCTTCCAGAGGTCCAATGGAAGGAGATTGTGGAGTGAGTGGGACGCACAAAGTTCCGAAAACCATAATGGTCTGGTTATTACTGCTGTGTATGTGCACCGGGGGACGCAGATAAATGGAAGACTAGATGTGTAATGGAGGGGAAGAATAACAAAACGAAATGCTCAAGATCAAGACGAGGCAGCCAGTGTGGCTCGCCGAAGATGTGTAAATCTCTGGGCTGCACTGCGCAGTTCGGCTTCAGATTTACTCCGTACTGACGTAAAAAGCAAGTTAAATGTGGAAGTTGTCAAGGTGAATCGCTCATGTGACGTTCCCGTCAGCGTAAACACGGAAAAAGGTTTCCCTCCACTGTGCAGGCCGGTAGACTGCACATTCCGGCGGCACGCGGGAGCACTTTGGATATCCTTGCCGTCTATTCTTTTTATTTCAGCCTCTACCATTTAAGTCTGACTGCATGCTTTGAGTTTTAAGTTTTGACTTCTAGACTTCCAACTTCTTCCATCATGCCCAAATCTTTGTTCGACTCAGCAATGGAGAGGGACTCGTGGAGCTGTACGTGGTGATTTTTGCGGGCTCCGCAGGCAAAACGTCGACTGCGATCGAGAAGCAAACACTGATCGCTGAGCGGGTGAATGCCACCCAAGCACCAAACACTCCGGACATCGTATTCTTTCCGTTGACAAGCAGAAGCAAAAGCACAATGATCCAGTATCTCAACAGCCTGAATTAGTTTATTTCCGTAGCTATGCAGAAGACGTTACTTCAGTAACGTCTGGCGCTAGCCAGGGTCCACACAGCTTTAATTTGGTGTTTGTTTGTTTGTTTGTTTGTTTGTTTGTGTCACGGCTGGAGCTATCCCGTATCTGTCCCGTATCTGTCCCGTACCTGTGTCTACAGGATTGTACATAACAGCTGTCCACAATATTTGCGGGCTCCTGTATCTGTCCCGTACCGTACCAATATTCGTCGTATTATGTATACGACTCCCTGATGTAGAGGGAGATTTGAAAAGAAATAGGGAGACGAGGAGGAAATTAAAGAATAGACGCCGAATAGGTGATAGGTTGCGTCAGCATAAACATACTTTGGAAGAGAGATCCCGTCGTCTCCAAAATAAACGTGAACGAGCGATTCAGCGCCGGTCACAAGAAACGTCGGAAGAGAGATCCCGTCGACTCCAGAACGCCCGTGATCGGCAGAGTCCGCCAGTCCCAGGCAACGTCAGGACAGACATCCCGTTGAGTCCAGAACGCCCGTGATCGGCAGAGTCTAAGCCGGTCCCAGGAAACGTCAGGACAGACATCCCGTCGAGTCCAGAACGCCCGTGATCAGCAGAGTCAGCGCCGGTCCCAGTAAACGTCAGGACAGACATCCCGTCGACGCGCAGAAAAACTAAATCTGCAGCCTCTTTTGCTGTCGGACAGGATACGTGTTGGACTCAGTAGAGCGTCCAGCCCCTATATGATGTCCAACCCCTATATAGAGTCCATTGGTCCAAAATGCACTGTACAGAGTCCAAACTTGCCCATCAACTGTGAGCTCAAAGTTTAGATGAACATCACTCCCTGTATAGAGTCCAGCCAATTGGCTTCACCCCTATATAGTGTCCATTGGTCCAAAATCAACTGTACGGAGTCCAAACTTTGAAATCAACTATAAAGGGTCTTTATCATATGTGGACAACACTTCCTGTATAAAGTCCAGCCAATTAGGCATCCCCTATCCAGAGTTCAAAATTAGACATAGGATCTGCTGTAAGCAGTGAATATTAACCAGAAAACGGCCTCTCCCTTTAATCCTTTACATCATTCACTTCTCAAGATAAAAAATTAATTATTGAGGCGCCACTGCAGCTACTTCATTACATGAAAAACCCTACAAACACCATCCTCAAATCAAGTGGTCTCTTCGCAGACGCTGCAAATTACAATATCTCAATCATGTAGTGTTGCCAAATTATTGTGCACGCACACACACACACACACACATGCACACACCCACACAACGCCAAGAAAATACCTAGAAAAAAAACAAGAATCAAAAGATAATAATGGAGAGCCAAGGATTAATTATTTGTTTTCAAATTATTGTGCGTGCGCGCGCGCACACACACACACACACACACACACACACACACACACACACACACACACACACACACACACACAAACTTATACAACGCCAAGAAAACACCAAGAAAAGAGTAGAGACACAACACACACGCAACTCCAACAGCCATTCAAACGTCCACCCATTTACACGTAAAGTCAAGGGGGATAACAAATAGTTATACGAAACGAATGCATACGTGGCCGTGGGCGGATGCACGCACGTTTACAAACATGTACATGTAGTAGTGTAAGAGAGTAACATAATTCAGTAGTCAGCATAATACTAGCACATGCTGAGACTCCAATAGCAAGCTTCACCATTGCTCATGGCCATGCAAATGTTCAGCAGCACTCAGTTCCGCAAGCTTCTGAAGATCAGCACACCTGCAACAAATAGATAGCACAAGGATACGCTTATTACCGTAATGATGCATGGGAGCACACAACTACCAAGTTCTCAACGAATGTGATGTTCAATGAAAATTCATCCACTCAAAGATTGTGAACAGGTGACGATGGGGACAATAATCTATTAGTAATACGAGGAATAAGATCGTTTGTGCACACTCAAGACGCACAGACACACCACCATACATGTAGTGTACACAGTGTTTCGTTTTGAAATGAGATGATTTGAACAATCTGTACAGCGTTGCCGTCAGTCAGTCTTCCCCGAGATGGAAATGCAATGATTTGTTGTCACGAGGCAGTTTCACTGACACAGTGTCATGTTTGTCACATCAAAACGGTTACTTCATGGAATACGAGTACATGTATTAGCTTGAGAAGCTTTTTCTTGTCATCGGCATACAATAAATCCTCCTCTTACTACTACTAGTACACTGGCGCTGCGTCTGTGGATCCCATTGTATTTGACATCATACTAGAGCCTAGTAGAGGAAGAGTGTCGTGGAGTTCACATAATTATCATAGGGATAAAAATACATTTTTCATGAAATAAAATAATAATTGATGATAGCTAGACGATCGTATACGATTGATACAAAGTCCTTACAGTCCTTGAGGACTATTACGAAGTGGTTGATTACTTTTAGGGTATTCATTCAAGCAACATCAAACAAACGCGATACGCTCCTTGAAAATGGAAAAAAATTCAAGCATATTACGACAGAACAGCAGACCAATCGAAACGAGTAAAAGCTTCCTTACCTCAGTCATCGTCCTGCCATGTAGCTGGATAGCCTTTTGACACGGTGGTACAGGCAGCTCTTGTCCAGACAAACAGGATATCCTTGTGGCGTCGAACGAAAGAGAGTGTCAGTGTATCTGACTCGTAAGATTGGAACTGTGCTGAACTTTTCTCGTTCTCCGCTTTCTGCTTTCATCCCTCGCTCTGATGAAACCGTTCAAACGTCTTACTGGCAGCGATGGCCAGCCAAACAGGGGATCCTTGTGGCGTCGAACGAAAGAGAGTGTCGGTGTACCTGACTCGTCAGATTTGAACTGTGCTGAACTTTTCTCGTTCTGCAATTTCTGCTTTCATCCCGCGCACTGATGAAACGTCTTCCGACTCTGAGAACCACAAGACGCTTTCCAGATTTGATTTTGAACGTCTCCTTATCCTCCTTGGTTACCTCGAGACAGATTACTGTCAGCAACTGCACAGCAGAACTGGCAGCCATGGCTGAAGTGAAGAAAGGAATGCGCTGCCACGAGGCAAGCAAAACTGAAAAGGTGTTTGTTCTCTTTCGGGCACAACACACAGGACAGCGTGACTGGATAAACTGGACTCCTGGACCGTGAATAGGGGACTTATAGAAAAAGTGTACTCCTTATAGGGGATTGCGCGGCAGGATGAAGCTGATCAAAACTGAGTGGACTCCTGGACTCTGTATAGTGGATTTTGGACCAATGGACTCTATATAGGGTGCTGGACATCATATAGTGCATGGACTCTATACTGAGTCCTACATACGTATTATAGGAGACTGTAAAGTTATGTAATGTCCAAATTTCGACGTGAGCAGCAGGTCACTCGCGTTGATTTTTCGACGTGCGAGCCAAATAACGCGAGCTGAACTTTCGCGTCGCAGACATCCCGTCTACGCGCAGAAAAACTAAGGCTGCGTTTACACGACAACGATTGAAAACGATCTGCGTTTACACGACAACGAAGTAGGACCTAAACGGAACGAAATCGTTGCGTTTACTACTATCGTTTACACGACAACCCCCGAAAACAATACCTAAACGGAACGAAATGGAAACGCACTTCAAAGTGTTTTGAAACGTTTTCAAAACGTTTTCGTTCTCGTGTAAACGGTGAAAACAGTGAAAACGATTGGAAACGGAGCGCGGTCACGGAAACCATTCCGCGCGGGACTATATTTCGCGGGAAATACCTGACCTTTGCGACCACCAGCACGTACCAACTCCAACTAACGTGTTACTTCCCGCCCTTGCGCCAAGCCAGCACGTGCTAACTCCAGCCTGATCGCCCGTTTTCCGTTTTCGTGTAAACGGTTCAAAACGATTTGCCGTACTCGTGTAAACGGTTTGAAAACGATTCAAGGCCAGCCCGTTTTCGTTCCGTTTCGTTCCGTTTCGTTTCGTCTCCGTGTAAACGCAGCCTAAATCTGCAGCCTCTTTTGCCGTCGGGCAGGATACGTATTTTAGGAGACTGTAAAGTTATGTAATGTGCTCCACAGGCAACCATGCATTCGGCGGCGTCATTGGGTCAACCGGTCAATGTACATGTATTACTACAAAAAGGCTAGAAAATCCGATTACTGTATTAAAATCAACTAATTTTCGCTGGCGATTTAATTTCGCTGATTTCGCCGCTTGGTACCAACCGGCCAAAGTAAATCGCAGGCCAAAGTTTGTCATATTCATGTAGGCAAATGATGCATGATTGAGCAACGGGTGCAAGTGAGAGCAAAAATACCGATCGATTTCAAATTTGACGTGAAATTGCGCGTCAAGTCGGAAATAACGTGCATCTTAACCTCTCTTATAGAGAGGTTTCTATTTCTCATCGGCCAAAATTTGTTGATTTACAGTATAAGGAGATAAAAAGAAAAGAAGGAGCAAACCAAGTGTAGATGATTATTAGAGAAATAACAATCCGCAATAAATTCTGCAAATACTTTTGCCTAACTCATAATATTCAAACCGATTGAAACGTTTTTGCAATACAGTGATGTAGCCAATCAACGGAAAAAGACATTTCCATCAGTTCTTATAACATGTACGATGAGCTAGGCAAAAAAAGTCATAAAAGCATAGCGTAGGGCCCTGAGCTTCCAAGCTCTCTCGTTTTAGTGTCCAACTCAAACTGAGTCAAATCAAATTTTTCAAATGTCGATTGATTATGTAAAAAGCTTGTAAAAGTATGACGTGCTCTCGCCATTCCAGCGGGATACACGTGCAGTGTGATTGCGATTCCCGGGATTACGCTGCAGCATTCCGGCGGTTATTCATTGCAGTCTGAACGCGCCCTAAGAGAGCATGTCTGAGAAAACCAGAACATTTGTGCAAGTCGATATCTTCAATTTCGCCCAAATTTTGCAGGGAAGGCGAGACCAAAAAAAATAGAGATATCCGGGCCCTCCCGCACCAAAATCAAGCCAAAGCCAATTTTTTTGAACAGTTCATACATGTACAGTACTGATCGTGTGAGTAGATCTCTGACGTGGAGTCACACAAACCCGAGCTTGTACGACTCCCTGATGTACAGATCAGGCCCATCGTTGGCCGAATTATAGAAAATTGAACGGGTAAACCGCGTACCTGTTTTCTGTAAAAAACTTGAATACAAATTATCGGAAAATGCTGTAAAAAAAGTTCAACATGGCATGCACACATAATAGTCATGTACATACACGGGAAAAAATAAAAAATAAAATTCGCCACAGCGTACAAGAACAAACTACAAACAAAACTCCATCAAGCCTACATTGCCTCACCTTAGAAGAGTTCTTGGGGTAGCACCGCTTAGCAACGCCAGCATCCCAGAAGACGAGGGCCATCATCCCTCGATGCAACAATTGGTCGTCTTGAAAATAGCCAACTTAGAAGCGCTGATAAAACAGCGAGTTACGTCCTCAATGAGCGAGCACTACACACCAGCAGATAGTAGAACACCTCTTCTAGCACTGATGACATGTCCCTCATCATCCTGTTTGGGTGTTCTTTAAATTAATATTTTTGAATTTTTCACTCGACTATGCTGAAATGCGGAAACTCACCTGCAAAATTTGGGCGAAATTGAAGATACAATGTATCGACTTGCACAAATGTTCTGATTTTCTCAGACATGCTCTCTTAATCACTCAAAACTTGGCTTTTTTGCTCCTGGATCTGTCCCAAACAGTGCGTGATGCTCAAGGTACCCTTTTAGTCCGTTTGTTTGGTAAATGTGAAAATGTGAATTTGCTACGATTCCTACCCTGTTCGTCTCTGATATTCGTTTTCTTCTCTGATAGGTACGGGGCCGCCGTCCTTAACTACATGTGTTTAGTTAGAGACGTCTAACGGGCGTTTCCCCCGGCCCACTGCCTGTATGATGCAGTTGTAAAACAGAGATGTTCCAGGCTGTCCAAGATAGTGCGCAATACCGACAAGCAGAGCTAGTTCAAACAATAATAAGAGGACGAAAAAAGGTGTTGTTACTCTGAGTTTCACCCACTAAGCGATCATCAGGCAACAGGATATGATGCACTTGTGCGACTTTGGTAAAATTCTAGGTTCACTTGTAGTTTCCCGAAGTGTAACATTGCTGTCGCATTTTGCATTACTTTTGGAAACTTAGTTTTTGTTTGGTTTGCTTCTCTTTTCCAGGGGGCTCCCAACGACAACAACAACAACGACCCCGGCAATTATGTAAGTCTAACGTTAATTGAATTTAGTTAACTACTTCCCTTTGCCAGATAGAGTTCCCCACAAGTTTATTTGCTCCAAGCAGTACATCACTGTGCAGTTTTCCTGTATAATTGGATACGGAGGAAAATAGAATGGTTGTGCCTAGGAACTCAGAGATCAAGTGACCCATGATTAAGAATCTCGGTGTAAATGTCGATTGATTTCCAGCCCAGCTTTTCAAAATGCATTCTTCATAATTATGATGAGCCAGGCCAAGAAAGAGCACAGCGAGTGTTGCAAGCTGGCAGCTCAGTCTCGGTTTGATTCTCATGAGCTGATTCTTGTAGAACCTATGATATTTGCAATATGCAATGAAATGCGCTGTCGCACAAAAGAGCGCTCTGTCAAAATCAATACGACACCAGATGTTTTGGGTAGGTTGTATGTGTGTATGGGTGGCAAGGGATTATGCACATTTGCACGCCCTGTACCCCCGTCTAAGTCCACACATAAAATGCTTCACTACGAAAACCAATCAATTGCCACAGGATTTACAGCTCCAGAATCAGGTTTTAATACGAAAACCAATCATTTCATAATAGCTATGAAAAGTATGAATGCCGCAGACATCACCACGCAACATGACAATTTGTTCAAGGTTTTAGATTGTGTGTTTCCAGAATCGATTTTCAAGCTCCGATCATCAGTGGAAATACGGAACTAAAGTGATCAAGGAAAAAACAAAGGTTAAAAATCCAAAGAAGTGTGACACATGACGCATAAGTATTACAAAAAGTGAGGGCTAAGATAAAGAGTAAGTGTGACAAATGGGCATGAACAGTGCAGAAACAACTCATGAACACGGGGTGCAAACTCACGAAAATAACCTAAGTGCTATTACATGTTCTTTTTGCTTACGCAAATCGGGCTTATGCGTACGAATACAAACAGCCTCAAGGACCTTCAACTGCTGGACATAACGGGCACGACACAGTACAGAGAAGTGGAAATCATCATACACACCCAAACAATCGGGACGAGATAACAAATGCAAGTACACAGCTGACTTCTTACGAATTTCACCGTCATCAGCTCCATCACCTTCCCTGCCACCTGACTCCTCCTCGTCCGTTTTATCACCATCACCACAAGCCGTCTTATCGTCATCCGCCTCGATGGAGAACAGAAGCCAGAAGCTAAATGGAACACAATCTCGAGATGTGGATGACGTAAGGACAGTGGTACGGGACGGACGTAGGAAGGAGAACACGGATAGTATCGGACGACTGCCTGGTGGTGAATATGAGTTGGGTGATGAGGCAGCGATGACGAAGATACAGATGACGACGAGGCGGATGATGACGAGGCGGCGGATGACGACGAGGCGGATAACGATGAGACGGCTGGTGGTGATGGTGATAAAACGGACGAGGAGGAGTCAGGTGGCAGGGAAGGTGATGGAGCTGATGAGGGTGAAATTCGTAAGAAAATCAGCTGTGTACTTGCATTTGTTATCTCGTCCCGCTTGTTTGAGTGTGTATGATGATTCCCACTTCTCTGTACTGTGTCGTGCCCGTTATGTCCAGCAGTGGACGGTCCTTGAGGCTGTTTGTATTCGTACGCATAAGCCCGACTTGTGTAAGCAAAAAGAACATGTAATAGCACTTAGGTTATTTTCGTGAGTTTGCACCCCGTGTTCATGAGTTGTTTCTGCACTGTTCATGCCCGTTTGTCACACTTACTCTTTATTTTAGTTCTCACTTTTTGTAATACTTACCACAAGTTACCCGTCATGTGTCACACTTCTTTGGATTTTTAACCTTTGTTTTTCCCTTGATCACTTTGGTTCCGTATTTCCACTGGTGATCGGAGCTTGAAAATCGATTTTGGAAACACACAATCTAAAACCTTGAACAAATTGTCACGCTGCGTGGTGATGTCTGCGGCATTCATACTTTTCATAGCTATTATTAAACTTTTATCTCCACGTAGATTATTTGTAGACCAATCATTTCCCACAAGATTTTCAGTTCCAGAATTAGGCTTTACAATAAAAACCAATCATTTACCACAAGATTTACAGTTCCAGAGTAAGTTTTCCATGAAGACCAATCATTTGCCACAAGATTTACAGTTCCAGAATCAGGTTTCACGAGAATATTTGCTATGTAAAAACTCGGATGTTGAGCCAATGGTGATATGGAAAGAGAAAGGTACCCATAACTTATTAGTCAGGAATACCAGTCCTCCAACGTAACGAGATAATACACAGTCAGATAGTGCGACAACAATCCTTGTCAGCCTTGTCAGTTTTGTGCCTTGTCGTTGCACTATCTGACTGTGTAATAATCTCGTTACCTTGGTGGACTGTTAGTCATTACTAGCAACTTATAGGTCCTTTTCCCATTCCACATATGCTATTGTGTTGCACTTTTCACTACCCCTCCAACCGGTAACACTCGAACAGCCATCGACTACACCACGCTCAACGTTTGTTTTCACAATTTTAAGCCAGGCCGGCGGCATCATCAGGGATATCCGAGAAGATACAAAGATGGCTAATATAAGACAGTACAGGGAGAGAATTCACACTCACTGTGTTTTTGCAACAAGTCACAAGACCTGCGAGTGATCTTTTCAACAACAACAGTTCAATAGATTCACTTCATCATCCCGTTTCATGTTATAATTGAATGTTGGGAACAAATTTCGAATCTGTTCGCATACCTAGAATGTCGTTTATGGATAATGATAGTGACATGTTCATAGAAAAGAAAAAAAGGACCAAGGAACTACAAGCCATCATGACGCCGCGCCACACGCTGCCCACATCGAAGGCGAGCATCACGTATGAATCCCACGTAGAGAGTACCGTTCAATGTCACGTAGAGAGACGCATTCAATAACACGCAGAGTGCCAAGCCGCACAGAGTACCACACCGTGATGTGCAGTGGCATGGTGATAAGCAGAGTACGCGACCGTATCCAGCAGCAAAGCATGAGCGTGCAGTAACAGCACTAACAAACATAGCAGCATAGATTGAGCGGTAGCACAAAGCTGCGTGCACCCATTAATCTGCATTATCACCATAATGCTACACACACACACACACACACACACACACACACACACACACACACGCGCGCGCACTCACACGCGCTCACACGCACAAAAACACACCGCAGACCTCAGACATGCCCATCGCGGAAGCGATGATAGCGAACAGCTATGTTAGACATAGCAACTTGTGCTGGGATTAAACCATTCAACAGCTTGCAAGGCTGATGAATTGACCGCCACTAATTTTAGCCTGGTATCCACCACACAGCTGTTTGAAGTGACTTTTCCTCTGGCCAGTGAATCCATTTTTTCATTTTTTTCATTTTTCCGTAATTTGATAACCGCAATCAAAAAAATTAGCTGAACCGACATTTGTGTACTTTATTCATGCAATGTAAAAACGGTGGAGACGATGTGCAATAAAACGATGAAAATATGAAGAAATGGTGTAGGGAAAAAATATGGATTCAAACAAGTTTTCGTACAACACTCATCAGGAATCGTCGTTGTACTTGTTGTGTATCGGTAGAAAGACTTTTCATGGCTCTTTTTGTTGTGGTCCTTTCGTTTATTTTGGTTTGTTTTGCGTTCTGCTTTGACTCGTATTTGACTGGTTTTGGTTGCATGTATAGTTTGTACGTGATCCAAGTAACGGTTACGTCATTGTCATGCGTTATGTTTTGTTTGTGCGCATGCTTATATGCTGCCATAATGTTAGTCTTTTTCTTCAGTTTTCAGTTTACCTCGTCGTGTCCGGTCTTCTTGTCTGTCCGTCTCCGTCTTGTCAAGAAAATATGTAGAACTCTCAGTTCAGTTTCGTTGTTGTGTGTGGCGGGTCGGATGGGCAGGGAGGCTGGGCCCCTGACGCCTGGACAACATGTGCGCGTGCACAAAATTTGGCGACCACGCCAGGATAGTCAGGGAGACGAGGAACTGGCAGGAACTCCGGTGCGAAGGAAAACGCATCGAGAACAAATCACCAAAACGACGTCGTCTGAGCTGAAGGCGCTGAGCGAGGAAACGTCTGCGAGGAGTGGCTGGCTCGTCGGAGCTGAATGCGCTGAGGGCAGATGAAATGGATGAACATCTGCAAGGAGTGGCTGGTCCGCCGGAGTTGAATGCGCTGAGGGCAGGGACGTCCCGCGAGGTGGCTGGTGAAGACGACGAGGTTGGTGCGACGGAAGTCGTTGGAGCTGAATGCGCTGAGGGCAGACGAAGACGGATAAACGTCTGCGAGGAGTGGCTGGTTCCTACGACAAGGACGGTGCGAAGGAAAACGCATCGTGAACAAATAACCCCATGTGAGTGTGACGCGGAGTTTAGAAGGTGCTCCTGCTGTGATTTGTTGATTAGTTTGATTCGATTTGTTTGAGTGGTTTGGTTTGCTCGATTTGTTTGTTAGTTCGAGTTTGGTAGTTCGGTTTGCTCGAGTTGTTTGATTAGTTTGTTTTGCTCGATTTGTTTGAGTTTGATTTGTTTGTCCCTGGTCGGACGTTGACTTTCGTTGGAGTTTTGTTGGCGTGTCGATCGTTTATTTGTTTATTTGTTGCCTCTTGTAGTTAGTTTGATTAGTACGCTTGCGGCGTATACTCGTAGGGCACAGTGTTTGCAGTCCTCGTAGAACCCTGAAAAGGTCTTTGGTGGGGAATATGTTGTGTATCGGTAGAAAGACTTTTCATGGCTCTTTTTGTTGTGGTCCTTTCGTTTATTTTGGTTTGTTTTGCGTTCTGCTTTGACTCGTATTTGACTGGTTTTGGTTGCATGTATAGTTTGTACGTGATCCAAGTAACGGTTACGTCATTGTCATGCGTTATGTTTTGTTTGTGCGCATGCTTATATGCTGCCATAATGTTAGTCTTTTTCTTCAGTTTTCAGTTTACCTCGTCGTGTCCGGTCTTCTTGTCTGTCCGTCTCCGTCTTGTCAAGAAAATATGTAGAACTCTCAGTTCAGTTTCGTTGTTGTGTGTGGCGGGTCGGATGGGCAGGGAGGCTGGGCCCCTGACGCCTGGACAACATGTGCGCGTGCACAAAAGTACTAAAGGACACTGAAACAAAAATTGAACTATTATAGAAAATCTAAGTTAGAGAAATAACACTATGAGCAACAACAGTGAAATGTGAAACAGTGAAATAGTATTCACCCTGCCCTTCGTTTTACATGTGAGCATGAACAGTCCAACAAATTGTCATTTCTAGATGTGCTTGTGGAAAAAACGAGTAGTGACGTTCTGACCACCGTTTATCGAAAGCCGACGTTTACTGGTCAGTACATTGTATATGACTCTTATTGTTCGTCTCAATACGAGAGAGCTTGGAAGCTCAGGGCCCTACGCTATGCTTTTTTTGCCTAGCTCATCGTACATGTTATTAGAACTGATGGAACTATTTTTTTTCGTTGATTGGCCACATGGTTAGCATTTTACCGTTCACGCTATATTCGGCGGTAGGCCTGCACCATTTTTTGTGTTTGTATACATGGCATTTTACAGTGCACGCGCTAGATCCAGCGGTACTCGTGCCCCAAACCCAAAATACCGTCGGTTTGGTACCGTTTCGACGATAGAAAGCTCTTTTTAGCGGGAGAACGAAACGGTAAGATTCTAACTAGGGTTACCTCACACGTCTATCGTTGCGTCAGGAGTCAGGACTCAGAAGCCGAACTGCTAACCGTTTCTCGAATAAACAAAAAAAACAGTAAAAAAACAGTAGACTCGCCTCGCCCTCTACACGCCGACGGTGGAAATAGCGTGAACGGTAAAATGCTAACCATGTCTATAGTATGGCAAAAACGTTTCGATCAGTTTGAATATGAGTTAGGCAAAAAGTATTTGTAGAATTTATTGCGGATTGTTATTTCTCTAATTTCATCCACTTTTGGTTTGCTCCTTTTTTTCTTTTTTATCTCCTTATATTGTAAATCAATAAATTTTGGCCGATGAGAAACTTTGGCCGATGAGAAACAAAACTTTTCGCCGTCATTAAACTTTGGCCGATTGGAGTTTTCAAAAAGAAATCGATCGGTTTTTTGTCCTCGCATGCATCCATTGCTCAATCAGGCATCATTTGCCTCTATAACAAACTTTGGCCTGCGGTTTACTGTGGCCGGTTGGTACTAAGCGGCGAAATCAGCGAAATTAAACCGCCAGCAAAAATCGTTTCCTGGGACCGGCGCTGACTCTGCCGATCACGGGCGTTCTGGAGTCGACGGGATGTCTGTCCTGACGTTTCCTGTGACCGGCGCTGACTCTGCCGATCATTGGCGTTCTGGAGTCGGCGGTATCTCTCTTCAGACGTTTCCTGTGACCGGCGTGAATCACCCGTTCACGCTTATTTTGGAGACGACGGGATCTCCCTTCCAAAGTATTTTTTTGCTGACGCATCCTATCACCTATTCGGCGTCTATTCTAATTTCATTTCCTCCTCGTCTCCCTATTTCTTTCCAAACCTCCCTCTACATCAGAGAGTCGTATACATAATACGACGAATATTGTGGCCAGCTGATTGTGGCCAACTGTGTGTGATGGTACGGTACGCGACAGATACTGGAGCCAGCAAATATTGTGGCCAGCTGTTACTCAATCTGCGAATTTGTTTCTTTGTGGCCAGCTATTATGTACAATCATGTAGGCTGTAGAGCCTTTGTAGTCACAGATAGGGGACAGATACAGGAAAGATACGGGATAGCTCCAGGCGTGACACAAACACACAAACAAACAAACAAACGAACTGTGTGGACCCTGGCTAGCGCCAGACGTTACTGAAGTAACGTCTTCTGCATAGCTACGGGAATAAAGTAAACTTAGTGTGTAACCTTGTAGATCGTGCGAAGCATATTTGTTTGTCCTGCAAGCTGCAGGAAGAGCTTGATTTTCTCTGGTCAGTTTTGTCAAGAACGGGTACCCCGAGTTTTTGTTGCAGAAGTTGTTGAAAGTCGAACAAACTACGAAGGCTCCTATGATTGGTCCTGCTCGTTGTCCCGTTTATTTATGAATGCCGTGGAAAGGGCTGGAGTCGACTAAAGTTTGTAGTGCAGTCAAGTCTGTTGTTCGTCGAACATACTACGCAGTACACTTCGTGCCAGTCTTTACGACGATGCGTGCGTTTACGGTGCGGAAGGATGTCCTACAAGCCCATCACCTAAATCATCTTATTTACAACTTTGAATGCCGACAATGCGCTAGTCGGTATGTTGGTAGGACTGTTCAGCACCTGAACGCACGCATCAAACAACACACACCACGTCACATACTTCCACCTTGCGCACAACAACAAAGACCGAAGCGAGGGCGACCTAGAAAAAACCAATAACCAAACAGCCGTTGCCTACACAACCCGCGGATCCTGGCTCACAGACTGTGCTTGCTCCGCCGTCGCTGGTGGCGGTGGTGGAGGAGAATGGGCGTGGTGGCTCATCGGGTCAGCTTGTGTTGCCGCCTTTGCTCCGGCCGTCGGTGGTTCCCTCGTTAGTGCCCCCGGCGGCTTTGGTTGAGGCGGTGCCGCTTGCGGTCCCGGTCCCACTGCCTCCTCCTGATCCTCCGCCATCGGTTCTTGCGGCGGTGGAGCTTGCCAGTGGGAGACCGGGAGCAACACTGACAGCTGCATTAACACTACAAATGCCGACTCAAAAAGACCCACCTTGCATATCAGTAGCTCCCACACCAACACCAACAACGCAATCTACAGCAACCACAACTAATCCACCATCCAAGCCCATAATTGAAAGACCAAGATGATCAACAGCCAACTACAACAGAAGCTACGCACTCAGCGGACAAGGGCGAAAGGAGGGACGTGATAGCAGGTTGACGGCCGAGTTGAGTTCAATGGACCCAGTCAGGCAGGATGGACGAGACAGAGAGAGTACAGAGGAAGCGGAGGATGGAACGGACGGTAGAGAGAGCAGTGAGTCGGAGAGCAGTGATGGGAGTGATGGTGAGAATGCCGGTGAGAGTGTTAGTGTTGTGCGTAGGTTTCGTGGTAGCAAGTCTTCAGTGTACAATCATCTGCTAGCTAGTCCTGATTGTTGCAATTCGTATTCCGACTCTTCGTTCACTGTATTGTGCCGTGGTCGTCATGGTTATGGACTACAGTTAAAAGTGTTGGAAGCTATCTATCAGCGTCTGTACAAGCCTAATTTGTGTGTACAGAAAGATAGTATAATTGGGTTGGAATTGTTCAAGTAACGTGTCGTGTTTAGTGCGGCCAAGCTTGGCCGTTAATGTTCTAGGTGTAATGTACTGTTGTTATGTGTTATCATGTTGTCTTTCCTTCCTTTCTCCTTTGTTCATTTCTCGCTTTGATTGTTAAAATTCACACTTGAAAATTTCACTGTTGTTGCTCTTAGTGTTATTTCTCCAACTTAGATTTTCTATAATAGTTCAATGTTTGTTTCAGTGTCCTTTAGTACAACGACGATTCCTGAGGAGTGTTGTACGAAAACTTGTTTGAATCCATATTTTTTTCCCTACACCATTTCTTCATATCTTCATCGTTTTATTGCACATCGTCTCCACCGTTTTTACATTGCATGAATAAAGTACACAAATGTCGGTTCAGCTAGTTTTATTGATTGCGGTTATCAAATTATTATCTCCTCGCCGTGTGTTTAAATATTTTTCCGTAATTTTTTATTTTTTTACACACACACACCACACCACATACTCGGGCATACACTGGCTGTTGGTAACCACCCACACACTAATTTAGAGTCTTAAACAATTAATGATTGGTTGGTTTCGATATTTTTTTTCCACAGCGATCTCACGACCCTGAACAAGTAAGTTTCATTTTAAAGGGTTTGGTGTTTGACTCTGATCTGTATCACTAGACTGTCATGTTTGTACTGCACGCGCGCACACACACACAGACACACAGACAGACACACACACAGACACACAGACACACAGACAGACACACAGACACACAGACACACAGACAAACACACATACACACACACAAAACACACACACACACACACACACATACACACATACACATACACACACATACACACACCATGTACCATGTACACACCCACACCCTCCCCCCCCCCCCCCTCCACACACACACGCACACACACATTAGTTGAGTGTGCTTCTTATTCCTGTTCATTTTTCATGACCTGCTTTGTTTTCATAATTGTCGACATTTTGCCCCCACTTATTGCCCTCTGCGACACTGGCTGATTTTCACTCCTTCGTCCAAAGCTGGAGAGATTTCAGCATTTTCCAGCATTTGGCCAGCCAGGCTCGTGAGGCCAGAGTGACAACAGTACTTCAGTCTTTTGATGAGGAGTTACGACGTTTCATCCGCGAGGATATCATTTCTATACCAGCTTCAGCTGGCGGCGACCGGATGCTGGAGCGCATTCAGGCATACATCAGGCGGCAACGCAATCAGCTTCCACTTGACAAACCTGAAAGAAGGCACTACTCCCTGCTCAATAAACAGTGTTTCGGGGATGTCAGCCCTCATCAGTTAAGCTCGAGTAGGTTGAGGAAGATTTTTCCTGAAGAGCACTTATAGTGCTTTCTGGACCAAATCATCACCAGGTATGCAAACTTACAGAGACGTTCCGTTTCCAGCTCGACAAGCACGTAGTGAACACCAGATAGCAGCGCGAGTCAGTGTCGCTGATGGAGACGCTGAACAAATGCTGAGGACCGTTGGCCATTTACAACAGTGTTGCCTCCAAACCATCTAATTTGCATGACCGCTCTGAGCACATGGGATCAACAGAGGAGGAATACAGCCTTTTCATCTGAAAACCAGCCGTACTAAATCTGCGGACAGAACTGCTTCGTCCTTTGTGGATTCGTATGTTGTGTGGCGGGTGGCATGTGTTGTACACTGCCTATTGTTATTTATAGTTAAGAATAAAAGGACTGCAAGTTACGCTATAATGTCCACTAACACCACCAGTTACTATACAATCAGCTCATGCGATAACATTGCACGACACTGACCGACGGTACTGCCGTTCTACAACTAACTGGCTAACAGCTCTAGCACATCTTGGATGCGCATTTTGACAGCCTTCCAGCTTGGAAGGATCTAAGTTATAGAAATAACATGAGGAAGGTGAGCACAACCAAGCCAAGCATCAGCTGAAGGTCTGAGTTGTGATCACGAAGCAAGACAGACCGCACGACACCATCTCTTCGCACCATACTACAATGTCATGTGGAATGGAATTTGTGATAGACTAAAAAACGGCAAGAACAAGAAGGGTCACACGACGTACCTTCCACTGTAAAGATGCTGACGGCTCATCAGGTGTGCAGATTCAACTCGGATGGAGAGCCAAGGACTAAATAAAAAAAGGAGGACCATAAGTTTACAAGTTATCCGTTTTGGCCAATACTAACGATTATAAGCAGAATACTGTTGAGTCAAATGGACCATGGACTAACACTTGTCCACGCCTTCTATGTTCGGCTTGGTCACATTCATGTAGCTCAGATAGCTACAGAGGTGTTCATTACACTGAAAGTCCCAGGTTTGAGTCCGGGCGTCAGTGGCATCACAGGGCAGTACCAATTGTTATGATGTTACAACGGGGGTGGGGAATCGGATTATTCGGCCCATAGGGCACACTTTGCGTTCTTATCATGGAGCCAATGAACTGAATGGCGCAGTGCCTGCAGTGTTGAAGACACTCAACGCAATGTGTAAAGAAAAGATGGACAAAGAGCTGTTGACCCGTTGCTCAGAGATTTCTCAGAGAATCCAAGGGTTTCCCCTGATTTCAGTTCTTCATTATTGTATTTCATTTCTCTAACTTCCCTCTCCAGCCATTTGACGTCAAACTGAGAAACCCAAGGGTAAGTTCCAGTTTTGTGTGACAATACGACTAATGCTTGTTGGGGATATCTACTGTCACGTTTGATCCCCTGTACGGCGGACAGAGACCTTAATCATGAGCGTGCTATTCTGTTTTTGTGCTATAACCGTTTTATTCCCTCCAACACTAATTGTGTTGGCTTACCAATGATACTCGGGCCTACTCTTTACAGCTGCCCAGAACTGCTGGCACTGTGTCTTGTGCCCACAAGCTAACACTTGAATTACCGCAGTCTTAATCAGAAGAGAGTCAAATCCAGATGTCAACTCACCAAGTCTGCTCCAAAGCACCAACCCATGCCAATACCCAATAGTGGTATATTTACTTGCAAACAGACGAAACCTGACGCCACTTGCAAACGCCATAAAAATCTACCGTATTTTTCCGGTTGAAAGTCGGCCTTTTACTACTAAAAATAGAAGGAGAAAGGGTGGGGGTCGACTTACAACCGGGATTCGACTTATAACCGGGAACTATCAGTATCTTACAAAAAAAGACCTGCACTGCATGCACGAGTGCACCATGTGTACACATTTTTGCCAGTTTATTCTCCTTTTTCAGGGATTGGGACGTTATAAGGAATGTTTACATGATTTGTTGTTGTGTTAGTAGCAGGGTGTGGTTGGTAGTGCTTCATTGGGTGAAAACTTTAAAACGCAGAATTGAGACCTCCGGATACGGGGGTCGACCTATAACCGGGGTCGACTTACAACCGGGGTCGACTTACAACCGGTAAAATACAGTACTTCTACTGTGAATTGATGAGCCAAATGAAGATGGAAAACCCTACACCCACCATCCTCCAAGCATATTCTGATGATTGCTCCTGGCCGAAAAATATTTTCTGGGAAATGAGAAGGGCCTACTTGTGTTGAGAATGGTGTGTGTAGGGTTTTCCATGTACTTCCTCCGCGTCACTAAAATTGTCACTTCCCGGTGGGACTTTTCAAATATATTTTGTCCACTCGAAGGGCAAAGAAATCAGCTAGAAATGGAGGCAGAGCATTGTCAACGGACCAAGCTTTAGTTTGTGGCCTCCCGCTTCGCTGCACTTGCAGCTAAGGTCGATGTCTTCATCTGAGTTTGAGGCAGACCCTTCAGCACTCAACAATACTCTGAATAAAACGGGCGCTCAAACTCAGGTCAAGAAACTTCATTTTCAAGCGATCCATGACTCCAGGCAGGCGATGACGGCAAACTAGCATTTTTCAAGTACACTGTAACAACTTTCCAGCGCGATAGAGTAAGCAGCTCCACACCTTCTTTCCTTGGAAAGCTCTTCGCCGATTTTGTTGGTGTTTTCAGAGTTGATACCTTCGCAGCCACATGCGCCACACATTTTAGGAACTCGAGAACACTTTGTTCTTGCCATCGTCAACTTCAGCATTTCGAATTCAGGAGAGATACCAGGATTCTTATGAGCTTGATAACTTGATAAATGCTCCCGCGAACGATGTGGGACGGCACGAACTCCAGAGAAACGATTCACGCTCTGGGGCGGAATATTGCGGAGCCCGATGAATTTGTTTGGTGCGGAAGAGAGCTCCGACAAAGTCTGAGACCACCAGGGCTTCAGAAAAAAGTAGACATTGCGCACCAATGTTCGGACACAGAAAACAGAGATTCCGACAGTCTGACTAAGACGAGCAAGGCGCAAACATTGCGATGTGCGAAGCGACAATTTTAATGACACGGAGGAAGTAATGAAATTATTATCAGAAGAAAAGAGGACCAAAGAGCTACAGGTTAGGCTGTGTTATCCACTAGCACCACCAGTTACTTTACAATCAGCTTCTGAGACAACATTGCAGTACACTGACCAGCTGTACTGACGTTCTACACCTAACTGGCGATTAGCTCGAGCACGTCCTGGATGCGCACTTCAACAGCCTTCCAACTTGGAAGGTTCTAAGTTATAGAAATAACATAACGAGGGGAGGGTGCATCAGCTGATTGTAAAGTAACAGTTGGTGTTAGTGGATATTATAGCTCTTTTCTTCTTATAAATTAATCCTTGGCTCTCCACCCGAATCTAACATTAATATCAGTGATTCGTTTTCTGATCACCTGAGTACTGGAGTATATCGAGCAGAGTGATGAACTGTACTGGCATCGTTACCGGGATGCTGCGGCTGCGCTAGAAATTGTTGCACTCCAGCTGTCCAGGCATTGCGAAGAATATCACCTTTTGAGATATGATCTGATTCCGGCGCGACAAACACCTTGTGGTCAGCAGTCAGTAGCAGGAGTCAGTGTTGTACATACACTCCTGAGAACAGATGCTAGTACCCTTAGAAGATTTGCAGCGTTGGAATTCTCACCACTACTCTTCTAGTTGTATTCCTGGGCCAGTGACAACACTAAGAAGTCGAATCCTCCGCTCTTATTGTTGATATCTGAGAACAAGAGACCGGTAGAACATTTGGAGCTTGCTCCTGCTTGCGATTAAAACCTAGATACTGTAAGAGCTAAATCCACCATATGCTTGCACCGCAGGCTCTTGCCTACATCGGAAAATGACACGGTGCGATTGCTTCAATTTGCACGGTGTTTCTTTTTTACTCGACCCCTATAATAGCTAGACAAGGATGGTGAGCCAAGGATAAAATTTTACAAAAGGGAATAAAATGCTACATGTTCTGACCGCAGTTCTTGCTTACAACTGTTATTGTGTGGCGCAGACTACTACGCATACTGTAAACCGTGAAATTATTGCCATGGTCGAATTTCTGCGAAATTCGCGACCGCGTGGAAATCGCGAAATTTAGACGGCGCGAAAAGGAGATCCATGAAAGGTTTAGCAAGAAAGCCACAGTAGCACATAATTCTGCAATCGCAAAATTAAAACCTCGCAAACCTGTCCGGATTCTGAAAACGCGAACTAGAAACGCCGCGAAAATTTCACGCTTTACAGTAACATGTAACAATTTGGTCCTTTCCTGTATTAGCTCCTCGCGAGATGAAAAATTCGAGAATTACTTTATATTCATATTCTAGGACATGTTTACTGGGCTCGAGAAATTTGGTCCTGTGGAATACAATTGGTGCAAGATATACTTCCTCAAAGTTCTACTTCCTCTGCCAAGCAAAACTTCGTTGCATTTTTACAGTTCAGTCCAAAGTATTCTATGGCAACCAAAACACTTCGCAAAGTGGAAAACAAAGCAGCATATGAGAGATAGTTATTTACAGATGGCACACAGATCGTTCCAAAGCAGCCAAGCTTCGTTCTTCATCTGAATTTGATGACGACTCACTCCTTGATGACATCGAGTCGGCATCCTCGCCAATTTTCGCCTCCAGTGCTGCCAGTTTTTGTCCTGCATCCTTTACAAGTTGCCGAGACACGCTTTGATCGTGGAGATTGGCAAGTTCTTCGCTTGAACTGTGAGCTTGACGCCCCCCACGGCTGCGCTGGTAGTTGTTGTCTCTGCCGCTCAGAACTCTCCAGAATGACATGGAAAGAGCCATACGGACACAACCAAACGCTCCTCATCTTGGCAGCGGGGTACTAATGCCAGCATGTTTCCACAGCTCCATTCTGGTCTCCTTTTCCACGAGTGACACGTCTGTCTTCAGGCTGTGGAAGAACGCCAAGTCGTCGACGTTGAGACTGAACAACAACCTGAATGTCGAACCCTTTTGCTTTCCCCTACGCCGCAAACACACGTGCATTGATTTATTTTGGCTGTGTGCGGACGCGTACCATCGTGCTGGTACGGCAGTGGCTGGCTGGCTTCCGCATGAATTCTGGGCACTTGGAGCCTTTCAAACTGTTTCTCATTTTCGCACTTCGGTGGGATACACCTGGGTTGTGTTCTGGTGACATACTGTCACGAAAAGGTAATGGTTCGCCGATTTTTTCAAGGACTCCATGGTTTGGGGAGGTTGAAAAGCCTGTCAGAACAAAGCACAACACTGCGGCTACCCTATTCTGGGGATAGATCACTGACATGCTTGTCTAATGGCGACAGACAGATCATGGCAAGAACACAAAAAAACCGCAACGAAGTTTTGCTTAACGAAGGAAGTATGTACATACAAAAGAAATTGGTACCGTTCGAGTCGGTCTCGCAGTCACCGCCGCTCAATTCCTCAGATTCCTGTTTCATCAGAACCGACAAGTCGATCGGAGTCACGATATTGTGTTTCTCTAGAGAAGTAGTCGAGCATTGCCAGTACACAATAGAGCACAATCAACTCTGGAAAATAAACGAATTTTTGATATAAAACACTTCTCCATGGCTAGAACCGGTTCCGAAATTTGTAGTACTCTGATTCAGAATTTCTGAATCATTACGCACTCATCATAGTGCTTTGCCTAAACTGTAGGACTGTTTAAAACTCATGCTGTAGTGTTTTTTGTTAGATTCCGGAGTGGTGAGTGCGTGGCAGTCAAAGAAAGCGAGATTGGGTGGGTTGCCTTTCTTTTGATTGTTGTTGCCCATGCTGCGTGGGATATTTCCAGGAGTTGTCCAAGTTAATATACTGTAAGACCAGATATTTTAACGCCAATCAAATTAACGGGCTCCGGATTTTTGTGGGTTATTGAGGTGAAATTCTAACGAATTCTGTCTCAAAACCGGCAAATGACTGTACATGTACATATAGTTTAGTACATAACGACTTCAAAATTAATGTTTACGAATTTTTTAAAGGATCTTTTAAATTCGTTTTTAAATGAAATCGTTAGAATTAAAAATGTTGAACAGTCTCTGCTGGGATGATGACTACACCATAGCTCAGTGGTTAGAGCATCGCTAGCTACAAGCGAGGGTCACTGGTTTGAGTCCTGTTGGTGACGGCCAATTTTTTCTTCAGACTTTTCCCGTTTGTCTCTTTCCCTCAAACTAGTGAAAATAAATGTTCATTAACATTACTGGTATTACAGTATTCCATCTCTTCAAGAGTTACACCCATATAGCAGTATGTAGTAAACCGATGGCAACTGAGTTCCGAGCCCCTGAACAATATGTGCTAGAGTGCAGCACAGATTGTAGCCGTCTCCATTGCCCCGCAGTGTTAAAATCCCGTTCTGGGTCTTTGCGAGATGAGCCAGGGGTCGTCCGATTTCAGATGCCAGCATTGTAGTTCATTCTTTACACATTGCAGGCTGTTCAGAAAAATGGAAATGTTGCTTCTTATTACTGGATACGCGGCAAGGCCACAACAGTTTGAGAATCGCGATGAACAAGACAAGCTTAATCGACATTTATAGCACCTTTCTTGTATTTGACCGAACAATTGAATCGTTTAAAAAAAAAGAGTTACCTGAGGCTGTGATGAACAGAGGAAAAAATGAAATGCGTGATTACAAATTAAACGAAAGTGATGGACGATTATGTAAATACTTCTAACTAGTTTTCGTACTACACTAATCAAGAAGCAAACCTACTGAAGAGCACAACATGTCAAAAGGAGACTTTATCACTCCCGTTGTATTGACTCCCATAGATTTTTGCTATACCTAAGCAGTCAAATATTCCTGCATATTTCACTCATTATGGATGGGATTGAACACAGGCTTTGGCTAGTCATGATAAATCTAATATTGACATCATATAGGAAATAGAAACCTCGTGAAAGACCTCACTTTCACTCCTCAGTCTTTTACTCGGCTTTTATTTCCTATTGACTTCAGTACATGAAGAGTGAGAAATGAACATGGTAGGCCTAAGACTGCCACTGCTGCGCAACGCCTCTGGGGATATGTGAGACGCACAGACTGATCCAAAATGTGGGTCAGTCAACAAGATGGAGGAACACTCTTGCCCTCATCCTGCCAAACCCCCTGCCACATCTTGTCACAGTACAGGCATTTCCACCCCTGGGCGAGTCAGACCGCTGTGTGATTCTTGCTGAGTTCAGCCCAGTCAATCTCTGTACTGAGTCCGTGGCTCGACGCCATGTCTGACACTACAGCCAGGCTGACTGGGGCCGCATGTATCATTTCATTCGGCAGACAGACTGGCAGCACATTCTTAGCCACCACCCAGAACAGGCATTTGTACAACTTACTGCCTGCATCCAGGAGGGCATGGATTGCTTCATACCATCGAAGGATCTGTCAGTCGGAACGTGTGACCCTGTCTGGTGGACTCCAGAATGTAGTGCAGTGTGTTTGCAAACAAAAGAACCTGCTTGGCCGCACACCCCTGCACACCCAACCGATGCTACTGTCTGATGCCTACACTGCGACCAGCCTGAGAGCTGACAGTGTGCTCCACGCAGTGCAGCAGGCTCATGTACATCTGATATTCCTGTTCTAAAGGGGACCAATAGTCAGCAATGCACCTCTGCGTCGTCCAAGGCGGACTGTTTTGCATCATTTTTTGCAGAGAAGTGCAGCATCCCAAATGATATCACTGAAGATACACTCTAGCCTTTGCCACCGTGCACAGATGCCATCCTAATGCAAATCCGTTTCCAGGAAGCAGCAGTGCTCGAGCAGCTCCGGTGTCTTGAAATACAGTAATACCTGTAATGGCGACCACTCGGATATGGTGACCACTCGACCATGGCGACAACTTTTCTTTGTCACGGACGCATTTAAATTCAACACACTGTCTCTCTGTCTCTCTGTCTCTCTGTCTCTCTGTCTCTCTGTCTCTCTGTCTTTCTGTCTTTCTGTCTATCGGTCTCTCTGTCTCTCTGTCTCTCTGTCTCTCTGCCACTCTGTCTCCCTGCCTCTCTGCCACTCTGTCTCTCTTCCTCTCTTTCTCTCTATCTCTCAGTCTCTCTTTCTGACTCTCTGTTTCTTTCTATGTGTCTCTGTCCGTCTCTGTCTCTCCATGTCTCTCTATATGTCTCTCTGTCTGTCTGTCTCTGTCTGTCTCTGTCTGTCTCTGTCTGTCTTTGTCTGGCTCTGTCTGTCTGGCTCTATCTGTCTCTCTCTGTCTTTCTCTGTGTCTCTGTCTCTCTGTCCCTCTCTGTGTCTCTGTCTGTGTGTGTGTGTGTGTGTCTCTCTCTCTCCCTCTCTCTCTCTCTCTCTCTCTCTCTCTCTCTCTCTCTCTCTCTCTCTCTCTCTCTCTCTCTCTCTCTCTCTCTCTCTCTCTCTCTCTCTCTCTCTCTCTCTCTCTCTCTCTCTCTCTCTCTCTCTCTCTCTCTCTCTCTCTCTCTCTCTCTCTCTCTCTCTCTCTCTCTCTCTCTCTCTCTCTCTCTCTCTCTCTCTCTCTCTCTCTCTCTCTCTCTCTCTCTCTCTCTCTTTCTCTCTCTCTCTCTGTCTGTCTGTCTGTCTTTCTCTCTTTCTCTCTCTCTCTCTGTCTGTCTGTCTGTCTTTCTCTCTGTCTCTCTCTTTCTGTGTGTCTCTGTCTCTCTGTCTCTCTCTCTCTTTCTGTGTGTCTCTGTCTCTCTAGCCGTCTTTCTATCTAAGTGGTGTGTTGTTTGACCTGAAATAGGATTGGTACTGCGCAAGTCCTGGGGAATTATACTAGCTGCATTTTGACATACATCATTATGATGGGATCCATATAATTGTGGTTACGCAATGCAAACCTCTAACTAAAGAATACCTTCTACTAAAGACCGCTTTTTGCTGGCACCAGGGGTGATCGGTAGTCACAGGTTTTACTCTAGTATCAGACTTCCAAGGGAACATAGCTTGCACATACAATATGTGGCCTCAGTGCTATGGATTTCATGTACAAAAGCAACTTGCCAGTAAAAGGTAAAATACTTTCGTGCGGAGTATTAATTTTCTCTGAGTTCACAGCGAGATTTTCCAAGCAGCTCATGCAGTAAGATGGGAAACTTCCCAGGTAGGATTGAAAATCATTTTCAAACACACCGTAGTCAGAACTATTTACATCATCGTCCATTAATCTTTAAAAACATTAGAATCACATATAGAGAAGGACCAAGGACCAAGGAACTACAAGTTACGCTAGAACGCCCACTAAAACCACCAGTTACTTGACAATTCGCTCATGCGATAACATTGCACGACACAGACGCACTTTACTAACGTACCACGACTAACTGCCCAGCAGCTCGAACACGTCTTTTAGCATGAATTGAAGTTCCTTGGACCTCTTCTTTTCTACGAGAGAGCTTGGAAGCTCAGGGCCCTACGCTATGCTTTTTTGCCTTGATGACCTAGACTAAAAAAAAGCATAGGGATGTTATAAATTCTTTTAAAAAAATCCTTTTTTTTAAGACATAACCTGGGATTCGAACCCGCACATCGCGCCCTGCATGCATCCCCCGATACACTTCGCATACATACTACTTCTTCCAAGTTGCTTCACGTTATGATATTGTATTTGAAAGCCCTATTTGAATATGCATTGTGGCCAGCCGTCTTTGATGGTACGGTACGGTAGGGATAGGTACGGGACAGGTACGATCGAGGGTAACACGACACCCTCTCCCGTATCGTACCATCAAACACAGCTGGCCACATACAGCTGCCCGCAATATTCAAATAGGGCTTTCAAACGCAAGATCATAACGTGAAGCAACTTGGAAGAATGGGTATGAATGCGAAGTGTATGGGGGAATGCATGTAGGGCGATAGTGCGGGTTCGAATCCCAGGATATGCCTGAAAAAAAATAGGAGAATTGAAAAATTTATAACATCCGTATGATTTTTTTGCCGTCAGATACGGGATAGCGCCCGGCGTGACACAAACAAACAAACACACAAACAAACAAATACCAAATTGAAGCTGTGTGGACCCTGGCTAGCGCCAGACGTTACTGAAGTAACGTCTTCTGCATAGCTACGGGAATAAATGTATCCTTGACTCTCCATCCCAGTCAATAATCACATTTTTTTCTCTTTTACTTTGTTCATCACAGCCTTAGGTAACTCTTTCATGATTCGTTCGTTCGTCCAAATACAATATTGACGTTATAGATGTCGATTCAGTTTGTTCCTTTCAATGGGTCACTGGTTTATCCTTTTCCAAATATTTTTGACATGCAGTCTGGAATGCTTTTCAAATCATGTTTTTGATGTTTCTTTCTCCAAAAGGTGGACCAAAGGCAAGGCATTTATTCGGCCAGATTTTCAGGGTTTTTTTTGCCTTTTATCACCGTAGTCAAGGACTTGTAATAGTCACAGTACGAACAAACCAGCACTCTCCCCCGAAGACCTCGTGCCAGGCTCGCCAACACACATGGCACTGGGTTGAAGGAAGAGATACGATAAAGAGTAAAGAGGAAGCCGCAAACCCACAACACTTCGGTCGAACCACCAAAAAAGCTGGTCTCTCTCACTGCTGCAACTACACGTAGCAAGCCACACATCACGCATGTAAGCTAGCATTGTCGTCATCATTGACACGCTCGCGCAATAACCATAATTGGCGCGCAATAACGAGATGCTATCGGGTAATGAAGTGAGCTGACGTGTGAGGTGGATCAAAAGCTTCTGGTCACACATATTGTTAGAAGTGAGGTTTTGCTTTGTCTTTTTGTTGAAGGTATACTTGCTATTTCCCCCCCCCCCCACAAGTGCAGAAGTCTCTTTTGCAGTGCAGAACAACAATTATTACAAAAGAACCACTCCCTTCCTGCTAAAGACATTTATATGCTCTATTCGGTTTTGTTTAACACCTTTTGTGCTCAGGAAAAAGACTTGATTTCTACCAATGTCTGTAATTTGTCACTAATGGCCCTCATCCACACTTTCAAAATGGAAGGAACTGACGACTGGGGTGTTCCCGAATGGGAAAGGCGACGCAGGCGTCAATGGGCTGAGGTTTTGCGGGGGGATATATGTAGGGTGGAGTACACCGACAATGACCAGTGGACGGATGCAACTAGTAAATTCTACACTGAAAGGAGACCAAAATTTCTAATCCATAACGACCCGTCAGTAGGAAACAGATCATTTAAGCATGTCTTCTCACTCTTCTCCACAATGAATTCTGAAATCGTTACATTACTGGAGAAAAATGACCAACGCAAATTCAAATTCCACATAGTTCAGGATTATATTGAGGGAGTTGATGGACGGATGGATTTTATCGTAAAATTTACTCGCCGACCTCCAATCAATCCAGCCGATCCTGCTATTGAACTCAGTTTTATGAAGCGAGCACTTGAAATGTGAGTCATGTACTGTTCTCTATCCTGCCATTATGCAATGGCTTGTAATCTGCATTGCAAGCCATAAAGTACACCATATACAGATGATTATAATTTGTTGCTGCCACTTTCATTCTGCTCGTCCATTCATACCAGTAGTAGGTTCTTTTCTCGGCCAGACATGAACGCACAATGCTTGCAAAAAACGTCACGGACACGAAGGGCTCACCCGGGTTACTCTTCACAAGCTTGTTTCGTTCCATGGAATCAGGGGGACTCATCGGAGGAGATGCAGTTGTGTAGCGAACTAGCGAACACCGTTTTGTAACACATTATTAGGGCTTACAGTAATGTAGATGAGCACATTGCACAAGCCATCACTTCACACGCGTTCCAGCGGCCTTCAGAGAGCCAGCAGTTCCCATACTATTTGTTGATGCGTGTCAAGCGAAACGTACATGCACGCTGCGGTTTTACGCAACGTGCGCACGCCGGAACTCACCTGAACTCGCCAGCTAGCCACATGCGACTGGCAGCAGACATCGGAGAATGAACCTGTAAACTATACACTACTCTGGGAACTGGCGTTATGCTATTAAACATTTGCCTCGCTTAGGTCATGGGAAGAACACCAGTTTGCTCCTTTTTCAGACAAGTTTCTCCTTTCTCATTCTCAGCTTTCGGATCTTGAAACTCACTCACGATGCCCCGACGTACCAGTAGGAGGACTGCCGTTCCTGAGTTAGCAGCCTCTGCCTATTCTCAACATCCGAGCCGGGCCAATGCTCACGCCACGAATTCAGCATTGCAAAGCAACCTACCCGACTCTTCGTCAGCAGCGTTCTCGTTTCCTGAGCGCGGTTGCGTCGCAGGTTGCAGTGAACGGACCCTCGGGACTCGCGCAACAATCGAAGATCCCTGCCAAAAGCCTGTGAGCCACGACCACAGAAATGCTGAAAGAGACACTACCAACACTTCTGGACTCGCGCAGCGCCATGGTCACACAGGCTACATCCACGATCAGCAACCCCGCGACAATCGAAAGCCTATCGGAACGAGTCGCAGCTGCCTGGCAGGCACGATCAGCGGATTAGCAGGTCCCAACCATCATCATCCCTCAGAGGACACTGGACAGGATCCTTTCCGATGCATTCGTAGAATTATTTGAGTTGTTGCGGATTCGATTGGCTTAGCCTCAAACCCCTAGGGGACAGGGGTACATGTGAAACTTATGGGTGGCACACATGTGCAACTACTGCAGGAGTTCTCTCCCAAAGCCTCCACACGACGCCACATGTGCGATCTTACAATGTGGCTGGAGGTTTGGACTGTGGTGTTTTACACCATCCTACAAGCAGCCCCGGCAAAAGCCTCCGAACAGATTGGGTACCAGGCCATCATCATCGAAGCCAACCGAAATTTTGTCTGGGATGGATAGCTAGAGTACGGGCGGCAATTTTGCTGTGCTGCTGCTAACAACCCTGGGCATCAATGGGATGTGATCGACCATAATAAATTGCAACTGAGCACGACTGGCAGGGCTCGAGCTTTGCTTGTTCACCCCCCCCCCCATCTGCTGGGGGCTGTGTAGCTTTCGTCCATCTCGTACCACCCCGTTCGGCGGCATACATTCCTCGCCCTCAGTCAGTGGTAGTCCAATTTGCCGGAATTGCAACTGGATCAGATGCCAAGGGGGTGTAGGAGAGAGCATCTCTGCCTGAAATGTCCAGGCCGCCGCCCAAAATCGGCAAACACTGCCACCCTTGCCAGCGACTGGCCTGGTACATCTCAGCTCCACCTGCCAAGCGGTCAGGCAAGTAAGTCACCCATGCCAGATGCCAACCCCAGCACTGCAGGCCGGGTGCCAAGCCACTAGCCCTGCTTCGTGAAGCTGACAGTAGTGACACACAGTTTCCCCTTTCTCACCATCCCAGCCGGCCCTGCCCTAGATTTCAATATGCAGTGTACTCGCACGCCCATTGATGGTGTCCGCTTCTCTAGGCTGCTCACTGATCAACCAGACAAGGCATTCTCTTCCTGCGAGAGCAGGGGCTTACAATCTGGATTCCGCTTAGGCTTCACGGGTCACCGACTGACTGTGACGGACCCAAATCTTCCCTCATCTACTGAACATTCCGTGTACATATATGGGTATCTAGCAACATCCTAAGCACAGGGAGAGACCTGCGGTCCTTATTCCACCCCTCCATTTTTCATCATTCCAGTGCCCGGGCATTGGTGTCGTGCCCAAGAAGAATCGTTATCTACGCATTATCCACCATTTATCAGCTCCCATTGGCAAACAGTATTAACAGTGGCGTTGACCCGTCCGCGCTTATCTCACACCCGGATTGATGACACCGTGCAAACAGCCATGACCTACGGGCAGGATGCATTGCTGACACACACTGGCAATGCATTCCGGTTCATCACGGTGCACCCTTCCGACTGGTCTCTACTTGGTATTCAGTGTCAAGGGCAATATTACTTTGACCGAGTGCTGCCATTCGGCCTTTGCTCCAGCTCGGTTCTCTCCGATCAGATTTCCAGTGCTATTGAGGGGATCATTATTACTAAATCTTCCGTCCCTCACCTCCGAATCCCACTAGCTGAGGAGAAACTCCAGGGCCCATCCACATCCCTGGTCTTCCTCGGAAAAGAGCCTTTGCACAATAAGCGAGAGGGGTCGAGACAGGGTATACTGTGCACGCGCTGCACACTTGGCATGCAGCCAGCATGCATGGTTTGCTGCAGGACGTGACCAAGTTTCCTGTGTTTTCACGGTCCCGACGCGATGTTCATGTATGTACTTCCCAGCCTTTTTTTCATTTCAAGTTAATTTAGCTCTGAAGAAAGAAGTTCTGAAATGCTTTCAAAGACCACTGTTGGGTTCTTGTTTGCAGCAACCGTCATCCCTAGTCTAAGAAACCCACTTGTCTTTCCATGCATTCCCTGGTGATGCTGGCATTCCATACTCTGGAATCCTGGCTATCTGGCAAGAAGAGGGCTGCAGTTTGCTGCGACATCATTCACTGTTGTGTATTGGGAACACGCTGCCGATGACGACTTTCATCCTTGCTTTTGCAAAGATGCAGAACGCCCTGCCAAGAGACTCTGGAGCTTGAGAAAAAGGCATGACCCATCCCTGTCTTCACTATTGAATGAAGAGCGACTGCTTGCTGGCGCTGCTCGAGCTGCTTATGTTAAAGCGCAGAGAGACACATTCTTATTGCTCAGGTGTGCGGAGAAGGTCATCTGAGTTCGAGCTGTGGCTGTGCACACGATATGACATTATGCCCATAGCCACTAAAGTATAACGCGTCTTCTTCACTAGTACTACTCCAGCAGCTCCCTCTTCACTGTCGTCGGCGACTTGCCCCTGTGTTGGAGATGCAAGCATGGTGTGGCACTCACTCTGGGAAACAGAGATTCATCACGCATCCACTCGGACGCATAACATCTTGGGCATGGTAACGGTATACTCGAGGAAGTGGTGCCCTTCTCAGTGCTAGGAGCATCAGAGTTCTGCATAGAAAAGTGTTCTCTACATTGACAGAGGAGAGGTAGAGAAAATAAAAATAGATTTCAAGCTGCTGTAATCCGAAATATCCACTGAATGCGGAAAAATCACCACTCCAACAGCTCCGTTTTTCCAGACAGATACGCACCTTCATTCAGCAAAAATCTGGTCAGTTCCTTCACAGACAATTCTTCATTTGACAGTTCGTCCACGGGTTCCACAGCCATCGATAGCAAGCCACTCGCCACTCTCTCCTCCATTTCCGAAATGGATTAATACAGTGCTTCACCATGCTCAACAACTGATACTCTGCACAAAAATCCAAAAGGATGCCCCGTCTCGGATCACGTGACCATTATTGTGCAAAGGGTCTATTGTGCTAGGCACATTGTGCATGGAAGCCCGTCTCCCAGATGACAAACTGGCGGACCTCCTAGAGCTCCTCAGCGAGATGTCACGCTGCGCCCAGACCATGGGAACTCGGAAAATTCTCCGTTGCATCAAGCGTCATTGTACCAGGCAGAACTGTTGGAGTGTAGACCCAAGACGTGCTAGAGCTGATAGCCAGTTAGTTGTAGAACGTTAGTACTGTCATTCAGTTTTGTGCAATGGTATCGCATGAGCTGATTGTCAAGTGACTGGTGCTGTTAGTGGACATTCTTTAGTCCTTTTCTTCACTGTGCTTTGGAAGGTTCTAATTTTTATGATAACATAGGAGGGGAAGGTGAGCGCAACCAAGCCAAGCAGAACCTGAAAGTCTGAGCTGTGAAGGCCGTTGGATTGAGTCACTCAGTGCATGGCATGCCAGATTGCATCATTCAGTGGATGACACTGACACGCCGACTTACATATTTCAGTGCACGATACACCATATTACGTCATTCAGTGCATATCACACCAGATTTCATCATTAAATTGTAGTCCATGACAAAGCAGATTACAGTCAACTTCGCTTATAACGACACTCGGCAGGGCATCAGAAAAGTGTCCTTATTCCCGAAATGCCATTGTACCAGAAGTCTCACTATTATGTATTAGGTTGCATGGACTTTGCTCTGGGCATGGAAATTCTGTCGTTATTCGCGAAATGTTGTTATATCCGCAGTCGTTATTAGCGAAGTTGACTGGACATCATCATTTAGTGCATGGCACAGCAGTAGATATCAAATCATTGAATGTCTTAGTATTCACTGTCTGTTTTGTGCATTGTTGTCGCACTGCTTACTATATTGAGCCTAGTGACACTGACAGATTGTCAGTCACACCTCATAAACTTTTAACTTTCCCCGTATCTATGCACTGTTTGCTTCAATGGCCTCTGCACACATCCCACAACACTGCACAAAATGTGGGTAGAATGTGTGGTATTCATAGTTTTTACATTGCCACCGAAATTTGTGAAGAACAGCCTGGCTCTGTTTGACAATATTTACAACTGCCCAGTCCCCTTCTAAGCAGCTGGGGTAACAACTTCGTTCCAGCCATCTCAGAGACTATAAATAATA